GTTCATAAACGGACACCTAAATGAGGAAAAAAGAAACATCCCTCCATACACTCTAAACAGCAAGGATGGACAAATGTCCCACTGCAGCTTGTGTATTCTGGCAGCCAGCACTGTTTGGATGAAGGTGCTTTTCGGATGATCATTTTGCAATCGAAGTATGTGGGGCAGAATGGTGCCAACAGGGGCAACCACTGATAGAATTTCAGTTCATTAGAAACAAGCTGGAATTCACTTAGAGTATGGCCAGCTTTAGGATATAGCAGCTCGCAGCAAGCTGTGAATGTGCCTGCACTGTATTGCAAAATGTAAAGGAGCGGATGCTCCCCATAGCAAAGTTAAAGTGGTTCCAAAGGCTGAAGGTTTATTTTCATATATTCTATGCATCAACCCATATGGAAGAAAAAAATATTTGAAATATATTTTTAAAATATTCTTCCCAAATATATTGACATATATTTGAAATACTACAATTTTGGTCATATTCAATATATTTGAATATATACATATACATAATGCGTGTTGAAATTAGTTTTTATTACAAAATATATGAAAATATTTTAAAAAATACATTTTCAAATATACTGTATGTCTTTAAAAATACAAATCTACATTTTTGGAATGCATTTACAAATATATGTAAAAATATATTTGAAACTTTTTTTTATATGTTTTTAAAAATATTTTTCATACATTTCGTAATCTATAAAAACCGCATTTCAATATGCAGTTTGTGTGCGCATACACACACATATATATATATATATATATATAATACACATATACACACACACACACACACACACACACACACACATACATATACACACACTGCATGTTGAAATGCGTTTTTATGTCAATATATTTGGAGAGAATATTTTTAAAATATATTTCAAATACATTCTTCTTCCATGTGGGAAGGTATAAAACCATCAGTGTGCTGCTGCAGCTCCCCTCCTTAGCCCCCTAATACTTCCCTGAGCCCAATCTCGATCCAGCAATGTGCACAAGAGCAGTGTCTTTCCTGGGTCTTGACTGAGACACAGCAGTGGTAGCCATTGGCCCTGTTGCTGTCAATCACAGTCAATGAGGAGGGAGCGGGGCCGAGCCACGCTCTATATGCCTTATAGAAACACAGAGGTGGGCTCAGGAGTGAGTCCGCAAGAGGGCCCCCAGAGCAAGCAGCTTGGCTCTGGAGGTACTCGGCAAAAGGGAGGAGCCAGGACGACGAGCGAGGGACCCAAGAAGAGGAGTATCAGGACTGCTTTGCGCAAAAACTTTACACAGGACCAGTAAGTATAAGATGTTATTAAAAAAAAAACACAAAAAAAACCCTTTGGTAATACTTTAAGGCTCCATTCACACTGTTTTTTCTAATCTCCTAGAAGCCATTAGTATTTTTTTTTCTGGTCCTAGAAGCTAAATCGTGTTCTCCTATGTGTCCATGCACACTATTTTAGGCTGGTAGTGTTTTTCAAGCTTTAGTGTTTAGGAGCAGAACAAAAAATAGTTTTTGTAAAGTTCTTGGGAGTGTTTTTCCAGCAGAAAAAAAAAACCTGGATGCTCCTAACCCTAGGTTCACACATAAGCATTTTCCTCGGTTTTTTGCATTTTGCAGAAACGCAATACAGTCTAACATGATTTCCTATGGGAAACATTCACATCTCAGCGTTTTCACCAGGCGCGTTTTTTTGGAAAGGGTCAGTGACTTTTGAATGCAAAAAGTTGCGTTTTTTGTTCTACAGGCTTCAATGGAAACGCTGCAGAAAAGTATGTAGTGCACTTTTGCTGCATTTTGCGTTTTAAATCTGCCTAACAACAAGAACAATTTAAAAAAAAAAAAAATGCGTCAAAAACGCAAGTGCAAAAAAACACAAAACGCAATGCAGAAATGGATCAAACACAAACTGCATAGGTGTGAACCTAGGGTAAATGCTCCTTACAGCTTTTTTTCTAGCTTTTTTCTTCTACATGTACTTTAAATCCGCTAATAAAATGCTAACACTTCTAAACGCTATTAAATAGTATCAGCGTTTTTCATCCAGCTTTTTTTTCTAAGCTTATAAAAACCGCTAGTGTGCATGCAGCCTTAGGCTACATCCTGGATAAACAAGCATTTGCTTGGGGACTGCCAAATGCAGGCCATAGACGGGTCATTTATCAGACAAATTTTTCGTCCGCACGAAAAACCAGCCGATATTCACGCCGTTAGTGGGGCCAGCCCGTTGGCCGTTTTTCATGGATCTTCTCGTTTATTTTTATCAGTTGTGATGGAAAATCCACGAAAAACAGCCATTTTTCATGGACATTGGTGGCAGCATTGGCAACGGGGCCGACCGATTTTTCGTTTATCGGCCAACAATTCGGCTAATAAACGGCCTGTCTATGGCCTGCAAAAGGATCGAGCAAAATCAAAGAACTATATATTTTTTCACCATATTTATCCGATAACAGGTTCTCTCTAAAATTTCTAGCAAATACATTCTTTTTTCTAATCGTTGGAAAAAAAAAATAAAAAATGGAAAAGATTTCAAAACCCTTGCTGCGTTTCTACTGCAATCTGGAGCTTTGTTGAAGTTTGTCTTTCTGCGCACCACTGAACATGTATGGTGTGCTTAGGGCCCTCTAGAAAACTCTACCAATGACAGTGGTTTTAGCAGATAGGAAGTGAGAGAAAACCACTAAAATAGAATTCTAGCACTTTACAGTTCTTTTTTGCGCTAAGCTGTCCCAAATGAATTTTTTCCATGCCAGAACAGTCTTGCCGCTGTGTGTGTGCAAATATTGTAATAGATTGTAGAATAGACTACATACAGTAAGCGGCACTTCAGCAGCCATATGAGATACTTCCTCTCTGCTGCTGGGTATAGATCGAGCCGGTCTTAGCGCATACCCACCATTCAGGAGAAGCCGTGTATTTTCTTTTTTAGCAAAGACTACAAAGCTCCCACTGAGTAGGAGATTGTGACATCATCCACCCTCCTTCCCACCTTGGCCAATCAGAGGAACTGTTCTAGTTTAAAAATAATTTGTTTTGGGCAGCTTGGCCTAAGCAAACTGTTTAACCTCCCTAGCGGTCTGATTATGTCAGTATTGCTGTGCTCAAAGCGGTACATTATTTTCAATGGAAATATATATTTTTTTATCATAGACCTGTAATTCTTAGGAATAACTCACTGAAATCTGTCCAAACAAGAGTCTACAGTTGCAAGAAAAAGTATGTGAACCCCTTGGGATTACTTGGAGTTTTGCATGAATTGGGCATAAAATGTGCTCTGAATGTCATCTAAGTCACAACAATAGAAGAACACAGTCTGCTGAACATAATACTACACAAACATTAGATGTTGCCATGGTTTAATTGCACATAACATGTAAACATTCACAGTGCAGGGAGGAAAAAGTATGTGAACCTTTGGACTTAATAACTGGTTGACCCTCCTTTGGCAGCAATAACCTCAACCAAACGTTTCCTGTAGTTGCAGATCAGACCTGCACAACGATCTGGAGTAATTTTGGACCACTCCTCTTCACAAAACTGTTTCAGTGTAGCAATATTCTTGGGATGTCTGGTGTGAATCGCTCTCTTAAGGTCATGCCACAGCATTTCAATCGGGTTGAGGTCAGGACCCTGACTGGGCCACTCCAGAAGGCGTATTCTGTACTCTTGCAGCCATTGTTTTGTTGAATTACTTGTATGCTTTGGGTCATTGTCCTGTTGCATCACCCATCCTCTGCGGAGCTTCAGTTGGCGGACAGATGGTCGTACGTTTTCCTGCAAAATGTCTTGATAAACTCTGGAATTCATTTTCCCATCAATGACAACAATCCGTCCAGGCCCTGAGGCAGCAAAGCAGCCCCAAACCATAATGCTCCCTCCGCCATGTTTCACAGTGGGGATGAGGTTTTGATGTTGGTGTGCTGTGCCTTTTTTTCCCCCACACATAGTGTTGTGTGTTCTTCCCAAACAACTCAATCTTGGTTTCATCTGTCCACAGTATATTTTGCCAGTAGTGCTGTGGAACATCCAGGTGCTCTTTTGCAAACTTCAAACGTGCTGCAATCTTCTTTTTGGACAGCAATGGCTTCCTCCGTGGTGTCCTCCCATGTACTCCATTCTTGTTTAATGTTTTCCTTATTGTAGATGTGTCAACAAAAATGTTAGCATGTGCCAGAGATTTCTGTAGGTCTTTAGGTGACACTCTGGGATTCTTCTTTACCTCATGCAGCATTCTGCTCTGTGCTCTTGCAGTCATTTTTACAGGACGACCGCGCCTAGGGAGAGTAGCAACAGTGCTAAACTTTCTCCATTTGTAGACAGTCTGTCTTACCATGGACACATGAACATCAAGGCTTTTGGAGATACTTTTGAAACCCTTTCCAGCTTCATGCAAGTCAACAATTCTTGATGGTAGGTCTTCTGAGAGCTCTTTTCTGAGAGGCATGGTTCACATCACACAGTGCTTCTTGAAACCAGTAAACCCAAAACAGGTGTGTGTTTTTTAAGGGCAGGACAGCTGTCAGCAACACATCCAATATCATCACACTGATTGGAGTCAAGGTTGGCTCACTCCTGGCTCCAATTAGCTCTGGGAGAAGTCATTAAGCTAGGGCCTCACATACTTTTTCCTCCCTGCACTGTGAATGTTTACATGTTATGTGCAATTAAACCATGGCAACATCTAATGTTTGTGTAGTATTATGTTCAGCAGACTGTGTTCTTCTATTGTTGTGACTTAGATGACATTCAGAGCACATTTTATGCCCAATTCATGCAAAACTCCAAGTAATCCCAAGGGGTTCACATACTTTTTCTTGCAACTGTATTTAACATCCCGGGTATGATAAAATTTGAAACAAAATCATAAATTAGAATATAATAATCATAAAAAATAATATATTAATAATAAATGGAATTCAATAATATAATCAAACCAAAAACACTGAAATTTGAAATATAGCGCCAAGTTCGCACATCACTGAGCAAAGTCGCAAAATCGTTTTCAGTGTCTGATGATGAATTTCCCCACGAATCATTATCACTCAATTCTGCAAAGTGGTTCTGATTTACTATCGCTGTTCTCTAGCCGGTCTAAAACCACTTTTGGCCTAAAGGGACGCTTTTTGGACGCCATGGACGTTTCTCAGTTTCCAGGCAGAAAGAACGGTAAAAATGCAGGCAGGACACAGGACAAAGCACTAGGGACAAAATGTATGTGAAATGGGTTGATACAGTAATTCTATACTATGTGATTTTAGTGTATTGAGTGTCAAATTTTTTAACTTCCCACCGGTTCTGTCCCCCCAAACGTCCTGACGTCGCAGGGAACAAAACCCAGAAGACGGATGCCGGCATCGGCCGGAGAACATGGCCAGGGGCGCCGAAGGGGGAAAATCGTGGGAGCGCAGGACAAGGTAAGTTCTGGAGAGATCCCAGAGCAACGCTGTGGTGTATTCCCGAGTGTAGCTCGGGGTTACCGCTGGTGGTGCTGAAAGTTTACCCCGAGCTACACTCGGGAATACCGCCAGGGGGGTTAATGTGATAGTAAACCTGGAACTCTACATTAAATAAATTTGCTGAAACCCGATCTGTGATTAGCTGTTATAAGCGAAAATTCCATCACTTTTTTTTTGTAAGTGAAGTTATTAAAGTGGCTGTCACTTTAGCACAAAAAAAAGCAGCTACTGGCCCATAGCTATGACGGGCTGGCTAACTAGTTAATATGAATGTGTGAGAGTCGGGGAACGGGCAATCTTCATCACCATCTGGAAATGCTGGAGCTGCCTGAGCGGAATGACTTGGCATTCAGGTGGAGCAGGAGGACTGAAAGCTGAAGCAGGTATGTGATGGCATTTTTGCACAGGAACGCTAAGCATTAATGACATTCAAGCAGGTCGCATAACACAAGTCCAATGTCATTTCAAAAAAGCAAATCTTCTAAATCCGATTAAAAAAAAAAAAAAAAAAGTGCAGAATAAAAATATGTCTTGTTTGGCCTTCTCAGAGTGTCATATTTTGTTATATCTGTTAACTGAGTAATACCTGTTGACATTGCTAAATCTTGTTCACTTTCTGTGCTGACAGTTATATTTACTTTGTTCCCAGCTATAGATGGGGACTATCAAACCACATCCCTCTATCTTACCGACAATAGGAGAGGAGTGGGATTCCATAGTCTATCTTGTTTTTTATGTCTTTATACAATAGAGGGAGTGAGAGAGTTATTAGCCCAAAACAGTGTGTTACTGGCAGAATAACCAGGTGAAAAAAAAAAAAAAGAAAAAAAAACCCAACAAATGTTCCTGTACTGGTATTAATAAATATATGCATTGCAGCTTACTGGACCTTAGATGTAGTGGCTGCAGACACGTTATGGATATCTTGTGTCACAGATGGTTTGATTTTCATACTAGCTGTCATCAGTTTCAGACACAAACAAAACTGTGAAGGGACTTTATTTATAGATCTAAACAAGAGACTGATATTGTTTTCCCAACAAAGCTTCTAGCTTTAGCTTCGAATTAAACACTAAAGTTGCATGCATACACCAAATATATATAAAATCGTCTTCTTGCACTCAATGTAAAATCCTTTTCATGCAGTCCATTGAAGGACCCAGGATGTTTTTAACCCTCGGGTCATACTGCTACCTACAGGAGGACTGGACTCTGGCAAACGAAGTATGTCTTTCATATCCAATAATAGACCTAGCAAGAAGTAGAATTTCTAGCTTTTAGAATTGTAGGAATCAAAGGCTCAAAGGCCCCTGTCCCTCAGAACCTGGGCTTCAACAGCCATATTGTTAATGCCAACAAAGAAAACACAGCGCCTCTAAGTGTGTACTGCGAAGATATTGAATAGGAAGATAAGTAGTAACTCACATCTTACAATTTAAAAGCATATTCATTGGTAATGGGGGGGGGTGAGACGTCTATAGCCAGATGGTGTGTGACTGATCCAGAGAGGAAATCGATTAGGTCCGCCAGCAGATGGTGCTCAGCAAGTGCAACATGGATGGTAAAGCCTGGTGGAATCTCCAGGGTGTCAGCCAGCAGATGGTGCTGTGCATGTGCAGCATGGATGGTAAAGCCTGGCGGAGACTCCAAGATGTCCGGGATCGGCACGTTTGGTGTCTGACGTTACCAAAGCTGTGATGTTACGCTGTCTATGTCTCATCTATACATACATGGACTGCCACACCATGCGCCTGTTATCCCTTTTGTATTGTCTCTTCTTGAAGCCTTTTCAGTGCAGCTGTGATGTTATGCTGTCCATGTCTCACCTATACATACATGGACTGCCACACCATGCTCCCGTTATCCCTTGTATCTTGTTAATGCCAGCAACTGTGAAAGAAGAAAACAAATCAGTTCTTGGGACATTAGATTCTGATGATCTGGCGGAGTCCAAGAAGCGTCTGCCAGGTGTTGGCATACCACATCCACCTGGGCTTGTCTGAAGCAATGATCACCAGGATGCCCTGAAATTCAATCCTGCAAAGTAGGCAAGGAACTGGTTTTCGTGGGAGGGAATGCTTAGAATACTGATCCCACTGAGCATCCACTGCTTCCACCAGAAGATCCCTGTACCTGAAGAAAAACCTGTCTAGGTTGTTGTTGAACCCTGAGAACAGGAGGTTCACATTTGGCATCCTTCACCTGTGACACAGGCCCTAGAAAGCCTCTGGGTGAAGGAACCACTCCCCCCCAGGTGCAGGCACTACCAGATGAAGAAATATGCCTGAAAAAATGTTAAAGGCTGATGAGGCTGGAATAAAAAGTACTTCTCTTTCTGTGGAGGGACTTCTAGTTCCTCCCTGATGATTCCATCATTGTTGTGTTGTTAGAATGTATCAGCCAATATTCTTGCAGGATGTTCCAAAGCAGCAGAGACCAACAAATAACCCAAACCTCTAGGAGGTTCGCTGGGAGATGAAAACTTCACCGATGACCAAGTCCCTTACACCAAAAGGGTTCCCAGGACTCTACCCAAGCCCGACAGGCTAGCTTCCATCCAAACAAAAGAAAGGAAGTGCTTCCCTAACTCCAGAGCCAGATTCAGGGGCTACCTAGCTAGGGACAGCTTGGTCCTTGGTGACAAACGTATTAGGACCTGATCAACTTATCCTATGACTAGAGGTCGTTAGGTTGCAGAAGTCTGGACTTAAATGGGCAAATGGACCTGCCTCAAAGTAGGTTGCCATCTGGCCCAAGACTCTTAAGCAAAATCGGACAACTCAAGCACAGAAGAGTTAGAAAAGCAGATTGGCATGTTTGAAGGTTCTCTTGTGGAAAGAACACTCTGGCCTGAGCTGTGTCCAGCAGTAGACCCAGACAATGCAAACAAAGTAGTAAGTCTGTTGCAGTGATGATATTGGAAGGTTACGTATCCATCTGAACCACTGTGATGTCTGGACAGTAAAAGCCTTGTTGACTTTAGAGAGCCTACACTGTTTCCTCAACAAGAGGCTAAATAACACACAATACGGATGCCATACGAGCACAACAGAACTAGTACAGGGGCAAGCACCTTGGTGAATGACTGAGGTGGAGATTAGAGGCTGAAATACAGAGCTATGAACTGGCCCAACAGTAAAGTGAAGGAATATCTTTAGAGATGGGAACATGAAGGTAAGAAACTTTGATGTCCACAGAACCTAGAAAGCATTTCTCCAAATTTCTGGACCCAAATGAGAACATTCGAACCTCTGAGATCCAGAATGGGCTTGGACTTTAGAATGGTTAACATACTGGAATAAAGCCCCTTGAAATGTTATGTCACAGAACTGGTACAATGACAACTTCATCCAGAAGGCCCAAGAGGGGTCAATGGAGATCTGCTACCCTGTGCAGTGACACAGGAAGGTTGGATGAAAGAAACCAAAAAGGAAGCAGGAGGTGAAACTCCAGTGTGCAGTCCTAGGACACAACTTACAGCATCCAAGCATCGGAGATGCAAGATGTCCAAGCATCTGTCAAGGTTAAGAAACGCACCTACGATCAGGAAAGTGGGGGCACATCTTCATGCAGGGGAAAGCTTGTTAGAGGATTTGGCAAACTGAGTGCCCAAAACGTGCAGATGGACAGGGATTTGGGTTTGAAAGTTCTCAATGAGAAAGTTGAAGAAATGGAGAAAGGAACATTTCTTATGTTTTCTGCCTCTCTGAATGTTAACAGTCTGTTCATTAAGACTTATTCCCTGATATTAAGGAGTGCTTTGCCATCAGTAGCATCCTTGATACTCTCAAGAGCTGGTCCTAAGAGGTGTTGTGCTTCAAAGGCTATACATATTTTTATACAAGGGTTCCAGACCCACTCATAAGTGCCATACACGTACAATATATTACCAAAAGTATTGGGATGCCTGCCTTTACACGCACATGAACTTTAATGGCATCCCAATCTTAGCAGCTATAACAGCTTAAACTCTTCTGTCCACAAGGTTTAGGAGAGTGTCTATGGGAAGGTTTGACCATTCTTCCAAAAGCGCATTTGTGAGGTCAGGCACTGATGTCGGACGAGAAGGCCTGGCTCACAGTCTCTGCTCTATTTCATCACAAAAGTGTTCTATCAGGTGCAGGCCAGTCAAGTTCCTCCACCCCAAACTCACTAATCCTTGTCTGCATGGACCTGAGCACTGGTGCGCAGTCATGTTGGAACAGGAAGGGGCCATCCTCAAATGGTTTCCACAAAGCTGGGAGCATGAAATTGTCCAAAATGTCCTTGCATGCTGACGCCTTTAGAGTTCCCTTCACTGGACCTAAGGGGCCAAACCAACCCCTAAAAACACCACACCATAATCCCCCCTCCACCAAACTTTACACTTGGCACAATGCAAGTACTGTTCTCCAGGCAACCGCCGAACTCAGACATGCCCATCGGATTGCCAGACAGAGAAGTGTGATTCGTCACTCCAGAGGTCATGTCTCCACTGCTCTAGAGTCCAGTGGCGGCGTGCTTTACACCACAGGATACGACGCTTTGCACTGTACATGGTGATGTGAAGCTTGCATGCAGTTGCAAATGGCCATGGAAACCCATTCCATGGAGCTCTTCATGCACTGTTGTGCTAATCCAAAGGTCACACCAAGTTTGGAGGTCTATTAGCTATTGACTCTGCAGACAAGTGGTGACTTCTGTGCACTGTTTGCCTCAGCATGCGTTGACCTCGCTCTGTCATTTACCGTGGCCTACCACTTGATTGCTGAGTTGCTGTTGTTCCCAGTTGCTTCCACTTTGTTATAATACCACTAACAGTTGAGCGTGGAATATTTAGTAGCCAGGAAATGTCACGGATGGACTCATTGCACAGGTGGCAACCTATCACGGTACCAAGCTTGAATTCACTGAGCTCCTGAGAGGGACCCATTCTTTCACAAATGTTTGTAGAAGCAGTCTGCATGCCTAGGTGATGATTTTATACACCTGTGGTCATGGAGGTGATTGGAACGCATGAATCCAATGATTTGGAGGGCTGGCCCAATACATTTGGCAATATAATGTATGTATTGACATGAAAAACATGCAAGAGACAAAAGGCTTCACAGAAAACAATCACAACTGAAAATAAATGCTACAGGCATCTGCTCCACTTGTTCTATGGTTGAGGGATCAACTGCAACTGTTAAGACCTCATAAGAGATTCTGACCAGTCAGACATGGTTTAAGTAAGATCACAGCCAGAATTGGATGAAGTGTAGAACCAGCAAGCAAGAACAGAGCTCTAGCAAGGGCTTACACAGCTTATTGTTTGTATCCTAAAGACAGGCAAGTATTCTCTAGTAGGAATAGGCTACTTCTGTACAACATTCTTACCAAACAGACACAAGCTAATACGTGCTTACGGGGATCAAACAGCTCCTCAGAATGCATCCAATCTTCAAAGAGTGGGAAAAGTAGATGCAACGAGAACGTTTTTGCAGCTGTTTGAAATTTTAAACCCAAAGCTGGAAGCAGCACTTGTAGATGCAAAAGCTGATCTCCTATTTTCTGAGGGGTGTGCATCAGAGATGAAACGGTCTCCTTTAACGTGGGAGTAAGAGCAGTAGACTGCGAATCCTCAGGAGTAACCTCATCAGTCAAGGATTGCAGCGACTCAATCTCTGTAGCTGATGGCCTAGAAACCGCCAAGGCCACAGGCAAATCAGGTATAGAATCTGTAGGTGACGGGGAGAGAGGAAACTTCTAGCCTCTATGATCAGTGTCAGTAAAAAAAAAAGGGGTGATCTGGGTTAAAGTCTTGCATGACCATAGTAAAAACCTCAAGTGAAAAGGGAGGAGATCCAGCCACAAGGGACAAAGCTAAAGCTTGTTTTCGGGGTACCTGATGCCCAAGATCTACACATTTAACTTTTTCTATCTATATATATCCTCAGAATCACTTGGTACTGTGGACCTTGTTCCATTTGGGGTGGCTATCCAGGAAGTCCCTACACTTGAGAGGCGGGTATGATAGTTTCACTTTTGAGAAGGTAACAGCAGTATCCATTGACTATTGTGGAGGGAGGTCTGGTTAATTTTGGATGTGATTTGGTCTCCATATTGCTAGATACATACCATGTATTTTTGTGTTCCAGCTTGTACATTCCAGGAGGTCCCTGATATACACTGGGAACACACCCACTGAATACACGGCTCACACAAATATTAAGCAGGAAACCTACGGAAATCCAGGATAATTATTTCATCATTACACTACTCTGCCTTATATGGTGCTCTGTTGGCTAAGATGACCCTAAATTGAAGACGCTAAGTGCTTTTTAACATGATTTTATTTTTTTCATATGTACACCGTGCTCATGTTTAACCTCCCTATGATCTATGTGATCAAATAAAGTATTGTTAAATTCATTTGAATTCACACTACTCCGCGTGGATTACTTAGAAACCTTCTTTTTTAGATAGGTGTGTTCTTGTCACACTATCATATTGTTTAGTTACAAAGCTAAAGAGGACTTCAAAAGATGGAATACACTCAAAACAGAAAGCAAAAGGAAACCAGGATGCAGACTTTGGTACGGTCAGTAGGCATACTGCAAACACGCTGAATAGCTGCAATCGTAGAGCCACAACCACTGCAGCAAAAGTGCCAATTACATTTTTTTTATAAAAATGAAGAATGAAGAAACAGGTGCTAACAATAGTTGGTCTTTCACACAGCAGAGAAGGAAAAAATACACCCATCCTCTTAGAACACTAAAAAAAAAAAAAAAAAAAAAAAAACACATGCTGGTAAGTAGGAGGGGTTATCCTGGGCTGGCCTACACTTTTTTTGGTTGCCAAGTGCCAATCTTCCTGTAGGTGGCAGTGTAACCCAAAGGTTGAATTGGTAGTAAACTCCCCTTTTGAACTTCTACCTACAGGTAAGCCTATAATGAGGTACAGTGAATATTTCCTAAACTTGCGGTGCTTAGGACATATTCAAATGGGATGCAGCCAGTGACGTCACCGGCGCTTGAGCTCTGAAGGGACAGCATACTCACGCTCTCTCTTTAGAGCTCTGTGCCATTGCTGCGACTCCTGCGCACATGCGTTGGGAGTAACGTCATCGCAGCTCACCCACTCAAGCGGCCACAGCCTACAAACCCAGAAGGAAGACCAGGTGAAGTTGGAAGCCCTCCCAACGATGACAGCGTGCCACTGAAGCACTTAGTTTTAAGGGAGGTATACCATAATATGCTAGAATGCAGTGCATACTAGCACAAAATGGCTTAACCACTTCAAGTCCAGACACTTTTTTATATTATAACTTGTGTTTTTTTTTTTAACATACCGTCACCCTAGCAGTACAGTGTCACCATAGTGACACTGTACTACTTGGGGGTGATGAAGATTTTTTTTTTTTTTTTTTTTTTACACTGATTGCTTTTATACCCATAAAGGATGTAAAAGCAATCATTTCTCCTTCTCTTTGACTGCATTCTTGCAGCCATTGAGAAATACTGTGAGAGATGTGATTGGTCACAGCTTGTCACATGGTACAAGGCTGTTGTGAATAGCCCTGTACCATGTGACCTCTGTAATCATTCACTGATTTCACAAATAGTAAGCAATGATGTCAGGAAGTGACATCTTGTTTACTACTGTTCCTGTGATCACTGATTGGCCAATCAGTAATCACGATGGGGACCACACACAGAGGTCCCGTACAGCGATCGGTGTTTGGCTGTGTCGGGAGGACATAGTGGGCACCGGATCGCGGTGCCACGCGCTGATAGGGAGCGCGCATAGGCAGTGAATTCGGGGGGCCGTTTATAAACACCACTGGTTCCTGCACTGCTCCCGTCCAGCCGTTTATGTATATGGGCCGGACGGGAAGTGGTCAAACAACTTTACAGAAAGCTTACTACCGCTTTGAAGACTTTCTGTGTTTGTATTCCTCAATTGATGGGACTTTTTTTTTGTTTTTTTTAGCATATTATAACAAATCGATCTGATCCTCTGCCATGATTTATGGCAACAGAATGTATGACAATACTCAGGATTAGGAACTCAGTCACAGTTATCCCTCTTTCTCTTACCTGTATCTTTATGGGCCAGGTGAAATTACTGACATAGACAAAGAAGGTGATGTTGGGATTATTGTGGAAGTCAAACTTCTCATTGGAGAAAGTATCCTTACATTCCTTGATATTTGTCCTGGAGATGATGGGAATCTCCTCTCCTGCCTGTGTGCCGGCTGCAAGTTAACAACAAAATATTGTGGTAAAGAAAAGATCCAAGAAAATAAACAATGCATTCTGATTTTATAGAAACTTTGAGGAATAAATACTGAATAAAGAGGATCAAAATCCAGGAAGAATGATTACTTAGTTCAGGGGAAGCAATTGTAACGTATATAAATTACAGTTCCCTCCTCAGCACCCTCCACAAGACCAAGTCTTTTTAGAACCTTGGATCTCCCCAATACACTATCACTGCCTTTTTCCTTCCTGTCCCTGCTCCGCTCTGCAGCTTCTGAACTTAGGTAGTCGGCTACATGGAGACCTGAAGTGTGCAGTAAGAAAGAATCCATGGGGAGAGCTTAGTCAATGAACCATTGCTGGCAAGACTGCACTCTCTATTAAAGGTTTATGTGTAAAAACATTGAAAGCAATAAAGCAATGAAAACTGACACACAGGATCTTTTTACAACCCTGTAAACATTCAAAAAACAATTACAATAAAACTGACCTTTAAAAAAACCTTCACAGTATTCCAATAAATAAGTCTGACTGTGGGAAACAAGCCCTTATACGAGATGGCTGGACACTTACTATTATGGGGAGGACAGTGATAGATGGCGATTATGGGGGGGAGCCAGGAATAGATGGTAATTGTGTGGGGGAAGACAAGGATAGAAGTTGATTGTGAGGGTGGGGCAGACAGGGAAAAAATAGTGATAAAATACGGGGGGGGGGGTAAAAAGACGGCGACTATTTTGGGGGGGGGGGGGGGCTGAATTTAGGGGGGTTGGGAACGTATAGGTGGTGATTATGGGGGGTGGGTGAGATGAACAGGATTATATGGTGATAATGGGGGGTACAGGAAAAGATGGATAGATGGTCATTGTGAGGGTAGACTGTGATTATAGGGGGACAAGGACAGATTATGGGGGTGATTATGGGTTGGACAGGACAGGTATGGTGATTATGGGGGGAGGTTGGAATAGAGGGTGATTCCAGGCAGGAATAGATGATTATGGAAAGGTACAGGGATAGATTGTCATTGTGGGGAGACAGGAAAAGATGGTGACGATGGGGGGGGGGGGGACAACGATAGATGGTGATCATGAAGGGGGGCGGGGCACAGCGATAGCTGGTGATCATGGGGAAACATGGACAGATGGTGACTATGGGACAACACAGGGATGGGATGGTGACTATGGGACAACACAGGGATGGGATGGTGACTATGGGACAACACAGGGATGGGATGGTGACTATGGGACAACACAGGGATGGGATGGTGACTATGGGACAACACAGGGATGGGATGGTGACTATGGGACAACACAGGGATGGGATGGTGACTATGGGACAACACAGGGATGGGATGGTGACTATGGGACAACACAGGGATGGGATGGTGACTATGGGACAACACAGGGAATGGGATGGTGACTATGGGACAACACAGGGATGGGATGGTGACTATGGGACAACACAGGGATGGATGGTGATTATGGGGCAGGGATGGATGGTGATTACAGGGCAGGGATGGATGGCAATTAAGGGGCAGGGATGGATGGCGATTAAGGGGCAGGGATGGATGGCGATTAAGGGGCAGGGATGGATGGCGATTAAGGGGCAGGGATGGATGGCGATTAAGGGGCAGGGATGGATGGCGATTAAGGGGCAGGGATGGATGGCGATTATGGGGGGGTTCAGAGTCTGATGGTGATTAACAGGGTGAGGGAATATATAGATGAATGGTGATTATAGGGGGATAGAGATAGATGATTATGGGGAGACAGGGACAGATGGTGACAATGGGGGGACAGGATCAGTTGGTGATTATGGAGGGGGACAGAAATAGATGGTGATTATGGAGGGGGACAGAAATAGATGGTGATTATGGGGAGACAGGGACAGATGGGGACTATGGTGACCGGACAGGACGACACAGGGATAGATGGTATTTATGGGTGTGGACAGCAGGAATAGATGGTGATTATGAAAGGGGGGGAGGGCAGGGATAGACGGTGATTATAAGAGGGGGGGTAGATGGTGATTATAGGGGGGCAGGGATAGATGGTGATTCTGTCACATGTTCTGTCCCCCTTTGTAATGTACAGCGCTGAGCAAACTATTGGTGCTTTATAAATACTGTATAATAATAAAATATAAAAGGACAGAAGGTGATAATGAAGAATATGGATTGACTGGAGTGTCTTAAAGTGGTCTGATGCTAAAATTCCACTTCAGTTCCAGAAAAAAGATGGGCAAAATAGTGAAGGTCATGATTCTGAGATGCCATATAAAGTACATAGATCGAGATCCTCCTACAGAAAGCGTCAATGTTTGTACAATAAACATGATTCTGATTTTCAAGGACACCAGCCTCTGGCAATGTAACAAATTACCATCTCCTCCAGCATACAGGTACTCTCATATATATTGACATGTATATTGAATGATCTGCCAGTGCATAAGCAAGGCTGCTAAACTGAAGTAAGAAAGCCAAGAGTGAATGAATACTGTCCACCCCTGAATCAGAGAAAATCATGTGCACGCAATGGAAATATTAAGAAAAAAATTCTTGGGGTCGCAGTAGATTCTCGCTGTGCAGTGAACTGATGGAAAATGCACTTGTTTTCATTTCCTCTCCACAGCTGAGTGTGATACAATTAGTAGCAGATGTGGGCAGCCCTTTACCTGGCACACAGGCCTCTAATAAAGAGCACCTGAATAAATATTCTTCCATTTTACTGAACATTAAGAGGCCACTGGGTTTACTTTTACTGCACACAGTCATTTCCTTAACGGACAGTTCTATCCAAAAGCTGAAAAATCAAATTTGCACGCAGACCTTTAACAGACACCATATGACATGTATGTAGGTCACAAAATATTTGAACACTTTAAAACAAAAAAAATGCCAGCCACCACCAGTAAATATAAAGTTACAAAAATGAAAGTGTCTGAGATTGCCTTTAATTCATCTCTTACTTAACCCCTCGCCTACAGGGCACTTATACCCCCTTCCTGTCCAGGCCAATTTTCAGCTTCCAGCACTGTCGCACTTTGAATGACAATTGCGCGGTCGTGCAACACTGTACCCATGTGAAATTTTTATCATTTTCATGAGACAAATAGAGCTTTCTTTTGGTGGTATTTAATCACTTCTGGGTTTATTTTTTGCTAAACAAACCAAAAACCACTGAAAATTTTGGAAAAAAAAGTTTTTTCCTTAGTTTTTTGTTTTAAAATTTTGTAAATAAGTGATTTTTCTCCTTCACTGATATGCGCTAATGAGGCTGGAGTGATGGGCACTGATAGGTGGCACTGATGAGGAGGCACTGGTAGGCATCACTGATGGGCACTGAAAGGCAGCATTCATATATAGCACTGATAGACGGCACTGACTGGCACTGTTAGGTGGCACTGATAGTCTGCACTGACTGGCGGCACTGACTGGCACTGATAGGTGACACTGAAAGGCAGCTCAGATGAGCACTGATATGTGGCATTGATGTGCACTGGTAGGCACTGATATGTGGCACTGATGAGCACTGACAGCTGGCGCTGCTGGGGCTACACTGATCATCAGGGCACACTGATAATCAGTGCTCTGATGATCAGTGTACATGTCCCCTCCAAGGAATGCCGATTACCGGCTCGGCTCTCCTCTGTCAGCGTGACAGCTCGTGAGGAGAGAAATTCCAATAACCGGCATTTCCCTATTTACATAAGATCAGCTGTGATTGGACACAGCTCATCACATGACCGAGCAGAAATCTTTGTTTTTTTCCGTTGATCGGTGATCCGCTGTGTCTGAGGGACACAGCGCACCGCCGATCGCGGTTAGAGTGGGAGGGCGTCATATGACGTCCTCCCAGAACAAGAGAACCACCTTGAGTCCGTCATTGCCTTATATGGCGGGTGGGAGGTGGTTAAAATGGTTATACAGGTAGATTACTACCTGTAGATTACATACTATGCATTAAGGTAAAAAACCTTCTTGCTTTCAGCATCTCCCATCCCCCCCAACACCCCTTCTACTTACCTGTGCCTGATCTCGATCCAGCACTGTGCACAAGAGCAGAGGCTCTCTCCCTCCTCACTGGTTCAGTGACAGCAGCAGGAGCCATTGGCTCCTGCTACAGTCAATTAAAGCCAGTGAGGAGAGAATGGGGAGCAGGGCCAAGCTGCGCTCTGTGTGTCAATGGATACGAAAGCGAGCACGCATGAGTGCCCCCACAGCAAGAGGCTTGCTACAATGGGAACTCAGCAGGGGGGAGGAACCAGGAGAGCCAGCTGGGGACCCAAACACAGGAGGATCCATTAAAGTTGAACTCCAGGAATTAGCTTTTGTTTTGTACCTTCATTGGTCCGGCTTGGTTAAATCTAAATCTAGATATGTCACATTTCTAGGGCTGCAGAAATTCACTTTAGTCTGTTCTACTCAAGCAACTTGCCATCTCTATACTGAAAATGGGGTTGTTCACTCAGGACCTCTGCCTTTCTTAGAACATCTAAGAGCATCCTTGGATTGAATGAGACAGACAGTGATGTCAACTGCCCCTCATTTCTACCTCATCCAATCAGAGAACACCTTGTATGCAATAAAAGAAAAAAAAAAAAAAAAATTCTCTGAATGATAGAGGTGCCAAGTGAGCGATCCCATGTTCTGTTTACAGGTGGCAACACCCATACTAAACCAGTGCTGATTATATGGAGCACAGACTTCCACAACGAATTTCTGCATTCCCAGTGGCCCTCATGATGAAAGATGAAGAATTAGATTTACTCAAGCTGGATTAAAAAAAGGCAACTCCTGCAGTTCAGCTTTTAAAATCTAACGATTAATCGATCCTACATGCTACACTCTATTGTTCCCTATGTGTACGGGTTGATCTGTTATTGCTAGAAATTAACAAATTATTAACTGGCAATTTAAACAGCACAATCATTTACAAAATCGTGCATGCTCACCAAGCCTTGTGTGCACAGCCAGCCTATGGGAACACACGCTTTCATGCATGCTCAGAACGAAAACTCATGTTAAGGATGTTTGTGATTTAGTAGTTTGAGGGAAGTGAAGCATCTGATCAGCTGCCACTTATTGTGGAAAACATTATATTGTAAAGTGCTGAGCAAACTGTTGGTGCTATATAAATCATGCTGCTTTATAAATGTATAACAACGACCCCAAATGCAGCCTCTATGCTTTCCATGTATTTACAAACCATCCCCTGACAGCAATGCATATAAAAAAAAATGTAAATGCAATGTGAATAAAATAGGCAAGCCACATTTGGAAAAAGGCAATGCAACCCAGAGCGAACGCTAGTGAAAATGCCAGTCTTCGCTACCCTATAAGACCAGACCAGTACTCAAACACCCCCAACACATAATATGCTCAGATTTCCCTTTATTTTGCACAAATGATGACTGTACCTGTAATTACAGAAAATGGTCTAATTGAAGAAGATTCTAAAAATATGATTCAACAGTGTTAGAATACGCTTAGACGCGTGGCAGATTTTGCCGCATATCTGAAAGCGATCTGGGCTACACAACTTTTCATATATTATTATTATAATACAGGATTTATGGCACCAACAGTTTGCTCAGCGCTTTACAATATAATGGGAGACAATACAGCAACAATACAGTTCAATACAAGAGGAATAGGAGGGCCTGATCCTGAGAGCTTACAATCTAAGAGGTATACAAGAGGGATAGGAGGGCCCTCTTGTATTGAATTGTACTGTTGCTGTATTGTCTCCCATTATATTGTAAAGCGCACATATTCTATATATGTGATATGTTGCCTCCTTAGTGCCTAATTTAACCTTCTAAATGAAGCCACGCAGAAACTACGTGCATTACATGCAGTGCAGGGTAGTTACAACTAGCCCCATTCACTTTTGCAATAAAGTACAAACTTTCTTTAATGACACCTCCCATTATTAAAGCAAGAGTTGTATTACCTGCAAAGCTTGATGCCCAAGTGATATTCAGGTTAAAGTTCTTCGATGCATTAATAAACATGTCCAAGTCTCGGTTTTGCTGTGGGTAAACAAAGGAAATTGGGTTATATAAACTGAATTGATTTCACAACTGTTTAATGAAAAAAAAGAAACAGCCAGGAAAACAAAGCAACAGGTATCCCCCCCTACTGGGGGTGGTCTGCATGTAATAAGGGGGTGAACTTCTGACATGCAAACATCCCCACACCAACCTTCAGAGACAGCATCTCTTTTTCTCAGGTCAAAAAAATGTCTAGGGTTTAAATATTCTATTTAAGCTCCAGTAGTGTGACCTCTCCACAGAGTTTCACAACTGCTAAGTCCATAAATCAAGAAAAAAGGAGAATTCAACAGGGTGTGTGAGACAACCTGGTAAATAGGGTCATAAAGAAAAAAGAACAAATCAGCGCTGGGAGGGGACCAAACTAATACAATTCTAAATATGGTGGATGGTCAACATAAAATATAAAAGAGGGAGGGATAGGGGATATATGTAAAGAATGATAATAAAAGTCAATAATGATACAATAAAAGATAATGCAGTAAAAAATGACAGACAAGACAAAAAAGTCCACAATCCAGGGATCCCAAGTGGTGTATGGCAAACGAAGGCAGCTCTCTCCATAGAGCGAAGCAGTACTCTTCAGGAGATAAAAACGGACAGAAGGGGGCGCCAATCTAAGTGTAGATCAGTGGTTCTCAACCTTCCTAATGCCGTGACCCTTTAATACAGTCCCTCATGTTGTGGTGACCCCCAACCATAAAATTATTTACCCAGCAATTATAATTCATGAGTGTCGTTTTACCTCCAATACTGCTGCTTTCAACACAGTAGCTGCTTTTTAACAGAGTAGCTGCTTTCAACACAGCAGCTGCTCTTTACACATCACAAATATGTGTTTTCTGATGGTCTTAGGGGACCCCTGTGAAAGGGTCGTTCAACCCCCAAAGGGGTCGCGACCCACAAGTTGAGAACCACTGGTGTAGAGGGTTATTATTTTATTAATAACATAGGGTGTTAAAACTACTCACAAACATGAAGTGTAAGAAAGCATGGTAAGGTAATCCTTTGGTAAGTCGTAAGTCCACCAGCGATGTGGGTCCCGGTCTTTTAGGATGAAGCCGTCAGCTGTCAGTAGTGCAGTGACTTTGAAAATGGTGCCGAAACCAGCGTGGACCACAAGGAAGACAGCAACTCGGCGGGCGACCAATGACAGAGCAGGAAAATGTCAGGTAACGCGTTTCGAAGCAGTTGCTTCTTCTTCAGACCTTCAAGTGCTGGTTTCGGCGCCATTTTCAAACTAATGTTTGTGAGTAGCTTTAACACCCTATGTTATTAATAAAATAATAACCCTCTACACTTAGATTGGCGCCCCCTTCTGTCCATTTAAATAATATGGGCAGAGCTGGAAACCCCACCCCCCAAAAGAGCTATCACCGTTAGTCTCTAAGATGCAAAAAAAAAAAAGGCTGATAAAACTACACAAAGGCAACTAGAATACGAAAAAAAAAAAAAAACCAAAACAACAAAAAAAAGGGATCCTTCAGACTGGCAGCAAGAGAGCGGGCTGAGCCATACTTTTACTGTTCCCTGACCTCTAACATTAATGAAACATTACAGTCACACAGGGCTGTACACATGCCAGCGCCGCGATGCTTTTGCACCATCTTGCAAAGTTACCGCTGAGTTCAAAGAGGCAACACCAAGCTAAATACTCGGCTCACAGATGCAGTGTGGTACCAGAATGTAAAATTGCCATTTAGAAATTTAAAAATAACAGTGAAAACGAAAAAAAAAAAAAAAAAAAAAAAACACACCTTCAGGAGGCAACAGTAGTACCTCCTAGACACCTGTCAGTTGTTGCTATACTACCTTCTGAAAAGCGATACAACGCAGATCGGTTTTCAGAGGGTGGTAAGCATTACCACAAATGTGAAAGAAGCTGAACTGCTCTGACTGCTGAATGCAGACATCCGACTGATGAGCTGACCCTGTAAATTCCGAATTTGGCTACATTCTGGAATAGCAGTAGTAGTAGTAAACTGATCTACCAAAAGGTGGAGCGCAGCATAAAGCACTTCTGCCGGGGAAAAGTAAAATAAATCGCTTTCCCTCATCCATGGAACATTACTGCCTGCTCCACTTCCTACACAATAAAGAAAATACTGTATGGGGAATGTGCGTGCCAAACATGGAAATTTAAAGCAAGAAAGGAAGCTAAAACATGTTTTTTGTTTTCATCTTTTCCCAGATAGCCTGAGGACATTTTGTGTAGGGCACTTTCCCAATCCTTTGTTTAAAATAAAAAAAATACATGATTATGTATTCTTCTATGCAGCCGGTGGTGGTGCTCTAGGCCTATTTGCCATCTTATCAACTGCATCTTTGTTGTTAAAACATGGAACTGACACATAAAAGTGGATGAGTCTGAAGGGTGGCTCATTCCTTATCAGACAACCTGGCCCAAAGCAATAATCAGAAGGAAAAGAATCAAAAGGCGGCCAAAAAGCCAGTTTCTGGAAAACCCATAGTTCTCTGGGAATCCTTTGTCATGTATTAAATATGATTTGTAAAACAAAAAACTTAATGTTTACGTTTCCTTTAACCTCCCTGGCGGTATGATTATTTCAGATTTTTGGTGCTAAAAGCGGTACCATTATTTTGCATGGAAATATGTAGTTTTTTTTTTATTGTAGGCCTGTCATTTTTAGGAATAACTCACTGAAATCTGTCCGAACAAGAGTCTAGTAAATATCCGGGTAGGATAAAATTTGAAACACGAAATCATAAATTATAATTTAATAATTATAAAAAATAATATAATAATAAATTTAATTCAATAATGTAATCAAACCAAAAACACTGAAATTTGAAAGAGCGCCAAGTTCGCACATCACTGAGCAAAGTCGCAAAATCGTTTTCAGTGTGACGACGAATTTCCCCACAAATCATTATCACTCAATTCTGCAAGTGGTTCTGATTTACTATCGCTGTTCTCTAGCCGGTCTAAAACCGATTTATACCTAAAGGGACACTTTTTTGACGCCATGGACGTTTCTCAGTTTCCAGGCAGAAAGAAGAGTCAAAATGCAGGCAGGGCGCCGGACAAAGCACTCGGGACAAAATGTATATGAAATGGTTTGATACAGGAATATTTTGCTATGTAATAATTACATTTTTTACAACTTTAAAATTTGCCGCCGGTTCCAGCCCCCGTACGTCCCGATGTCACAGGGACCGGAACACAGAAGCCAGATGCCGGCATCGGCCGGGGACGCTGCAGGATGGACATCGTGGGAGTGAAGGACAAGGTAAGCGCTGCAGGGAATCCCTGAGCAACACCGCATGGTAAGCCCGAGTGTAGCTCGGGGTTACCGCTTGTGGTACTGAAACTTTACCCCGAGCTACACTCGGGAATACCGCCAGGGAGGTTAAAGAGACAATGTAACATGCCCAATCAAAGAAAATGACAGTGTATTATTGTTTTATTTTTGTTTGTTTTGCACAGTGTATTATATAGCCTACCCTAGCCTCCTCCCCATTTCCCCATCCCCCAGCTAGGTATACATACTGATCCATGCCCCCTCACCACAGCAGGAGTCCACCCCAGGTAAGCTCCAGTGTTGGAGTATAGTCAGTAGATATCACCATCCCATATGCTCCCCCATACTCCAAGTCCCCAACAACAAATACGATGGAGTGAGGAGGCAGCGAGGAAGAATGAACTATTGAGTGTTTGTATCGGTAGACAACCAGAAGGCACTATCACTCTATCCTGCACAGTAAATGTGACAGTATCTCTAAGGGCCAGTTCACACCAGGAAAGGCACAGAAATATGAATGCATTCCTCTGCGATTTGAGTGCAGTGTGTCTTCAGCACATTCATGTTAAAGGCACTGAAACTGCACTGCACCACATCAGAAGCATGCATCACTTTAAAAAATGCACGGCGACCGGATTGCATGGTACTTCATTACTATGCAACCTGGTGCAGGCAAACACACTGCGTTTGTGACCTGTGCTTGGGGTGTCCTAAGCATTGCATTGACATCTGCTACAGATCACAAGGACAATGCGTTTTGAACAAGGTGCATGGAACACGCATGGAACGGGGGTTTCCTGCATCACGTTCTGGTGTGAACAGGGCTTTAAAGTGGTTGTAAAAAAACCTTCCCCCCTCCCAGCCCCCCTAATGTTTACAGCAGAAGCTCTCCCATGTCTCTCCCTCCTCACTAGCGAAGACACAGCAGTGGGACCCATTGGCTCCTGCTGCAGTCAATCACACCCAGTGAGGAGGGAGCTCATAATGCTCTGTGTGTTTTATAGACAGAGAGACCGAGCCAGCTTGAGAGTGAGCATGCATGAGTGCCTGCAGAACAAGCAGCTCGGCGGGGGGAGTCAGGAGCGCTGGCGGGGGGGTCCCAGGAAGGAGGTGGCTTCAGGCTGCTCTGTGCAAAACTATTGCTGAGAGCAAGTAAGTATGAAAGGTTTGCTGTCTAAAAAAAGAAGAGTACTTTTACAAATCACTTTAATTTGGGCCATGGTGACCACCACCTGCCATGCTTTCTAGGCCCCCAGATAGAAGAACAGCTATGTTAATTTGTAAGGCCCCATGTACATGGGACACTTCTGAACGATGGAAACTGACTGCTGGAAAACGTAGATTTAAAAAAACATCTGTATAGCCGCGGTTGCATACCGCGTTTATGTGTTTAGAAGCTTTTTTTTTTTTTTTTTTAAGAGAACGTCAGGAGACCTTCCAAAATGCCCAGAAAGCACTGAAAAACAGTAAAAAAATTAACTATTTCAGACATTTTGAGAGAAATAGAGAGCAGAAGCAGAGAGAGCAGTATTTGAGATTAGTGTTTTTTTTTTTTTTGTGGTGTTTGGATGTGTTCCGGCTCATTTCTGTGCAGAAATTATTGCAGTAGTGTCGAACATATTTTTTTTTTCATGCAAAACCTCAAAGTAGGATGTACCGGGTCTATTTGAGTACCGGGAAAACACTTTGCATGCTTTTTTCATTATGAAAAAAAGCTCTGGACCACATCTGAAAATGGAAGAGTTACAAAAAAATTTCAAACGCAAACACCTATAAACGCGTTTAGCCGCGTTTACAAGCGTTTTGCGTTTGAAACACTGATAAAAGTGACTGCTGATCGCAAGTTTTCTACGTTCAAAAAACCACTGTAAACTCAACTGCCTGTAAACGACGATGTGTACATGGACACATAGGAAAACATTAGGGAGAGTTCAGGGGCTGCTGAAAAAAGCGCTGAACAGCTCCTGAACGTGAGTTTATCAGCTGCAGTGCACATGAGCCCTAATAGCTTCAAACAAACACATTAGTTATTTCACCTAGAAAAAAAAAAAAAGATACTAAGCAGGAGTCAGTATACAGGTCAAGTGTGCTGACTTCACTGGCTGCATATCTGTTCCTAGTCTATGAAACAAAGTATTGAAGATAGGGAACAGTGTGACAGCCAGGCAACCAAAAAGAAAAGAAAAAAGAAAAAAAAATAGATAAATACAGGAACTGGTATGTTTCGCTAATTACTGGTTTCTTCTAAATGGGATCTGTCACAAAACACCTGTGTGAGAAGCCTCAACTATAAGCTGCAATTTTGTAACTTCCAGCTTTCATGCTTGTTAGTATTTGTGTAGTGGTGTTCCCTGCAGTCACAGAATGGCAGCAGACCTCTAACACAGTTATGATGCTTCATGAAAGATTCCCTTTAAGAGTGAACTTTATGAGCGGTCCAAAGCAGCCCAAAGCAAGGCCATCAGGGATCATCACACATTCAGACTGTACTCAGCCATTCCATACAGCAGCCCGCACTGTGATTTATTCTGGAGCACCGGCGGCTTCCCAGCAGTTATTATTAGAAGCAGATTGCAGGCTGCACAATCTGCACTTACACTGCGAGAATAAAAGGCTGAACAGAGAATAACAGACGCCAGCACAATGACAGATAATACACGGCGCCCCTTTATAGCAGATCCACAAGTAGTTACCACAGTTTTGATAAAGAGCTTTACAATCTGTGCACAAAGCTTTAAAATGGAAATGCTATTTTAAAAAATTGATTCTGTAAGGGTTTGCCCGCTACATAAGAGGAAGTGACTGATCAGAGATCCTTAAAGAAAACCTTCGCTGAGAGGAATACAGAGGTTGTTGCTGACCTCCCTCTGAAATGGCGAGTAGCTGCCTGACTGCTACCATCTACAGCCATTTTGCTGCCAGAACAATTTTTTGCACCTGTTTAAGAAATCATTTTAGGCCTGAGGATTACATAAAACCCCCAAACATACAGTACTTTCTAACCCTAGGTTCACATCTGTGCGGGTGGTGCCACTGCAGATCCGCACGAAAATCCGTGCAGCCGCACCACCCGCACAGAGAAATGAGGAACCGCAGGTGGGTGCCATTAGTTCTAATGGCACGCCGCCCGCACTGGAAAACGCAACCGTACTGGCTGCGTTTTCCAACGAAGTGCAGGGACGTCTTCCCTGCGTGTCACGGGCACGGGAGTCCATTCAAATGAATCGGCTCTCGTGCCCATGCAAAACGTGGCCCGCACGGCCGCATATACAGTCATGGCCGAAATTGTTGGCACCCTTGATATTTTTCCTGAAAATCAAGTATTTCACACAAAAAAGGTATTGCATTAACACATGTTTTGCTATACACATGTTTATTCCCTTTGTATGTATTGGAACAAATATAAAACAGAGGCAGAAAAGCAAATATGACATAATGTCACACAAAACCCCAAAAATGGGCTGGACAAAAGTATTGGCACCCTTAACTTAATATTTGGTTGCACACCCTTTGGAAAACATAACTGAAATCAGTCGCTTCCTATAACCATCAATAAGCTTCTGACACCTCTCACCCGGAATTTTGGACCACTCTTCCTTTGCAAACAGCTCCAGGTCTCTCTTATTGGAAGGACACCTTTTCCCAACAGCAATTTTAAGATCTCTCCACAGGTGTTCAATGGGATTTAGATCTGGGCTCATTGCTGGCCACTTCAGAACTCTCCAGCGCTTCTTTGCCATCCATTTCTGAGTGCTTTTTGACGTATGTTTGGGGTCATTGTCCTGCTGGAAGACCCAGGATCTTGGACGCAAACCCAGCTTTCTGACACTGGGCCCTACAGTGCGACCCAAAATCCTTTGGTAATCCTCAGATTTCATGATGCCTTGCACACAGTCAAGGCACCCAGTGCCAGAGGCAGCAAAACAACCCCAAAACATCATTGAACCTCCACCATATTTTACCGTAGGTACTGTGTTTTGTTCTTTGTAGGCCTCATTCCGTTTTCGGTAAACAGTAGAATGATGTGCTTTACCGAAAAGCTCTATCTTGGTCTCATCTGTCCACAAGACGTTTTCCCAGAAGGCTTTTGGCTTACTCAAGTACATTTTGGCAAACTGTAGTCTTGCTTTTTTATGTCTCTGTGTCAGCAGTGGGGTCCTCCTGGGTCTCCTGCCATAGCGTTTCATTTCATTTAAATGTCGACGGATAGTTCGCGCTGACACTGATGCTCCCTGAGCCTGCAGGACAGCTTGAATGTCTTTGGAACATGTTTGGGGCTGCTTATCCACCATCCGGACTATTCTGCGTTGCAATCTTTCATCAATTTTCCTCATCCGTCCACGACCAGGGAGATTAGCTACAGTGCCATGGGTTGCAAACTTCTTGATAATGTTGCGCACTGTGGACAAAGGCAAATCTAGTTCTCTGGAGATGGACTTGTAACCTTGAGATTGTTGATATTTTTCCACAATTTTGGTTCTCAGGTCCTCAGACAGTTCTCGTCTCCTCTTTCTGTTGTCCATGCTTAGTGTGGCACAGACAGACACACAATGCAAAGGTTAAGTGAACGTCTCTCCTTTTTATCTGCTTTCAGGTGTGATTTCTATATTGCCCACACCTGTTACTTGCCCCAGGTGAGTTTACAGGAGCATCACATGCTTGTAACATTCTTATTTATCCGCAGTTGTGAAAGGGTGCCAATACTTTTGTCCAGCCCATTTTTGGAGGTTTGTGTGACATTATGTCGAATTTGCTTTCTTTCCTCCCTTTTTTTGTTTTGTCCCAATACACACAAAGGGAATAAACATGTGTATAGCAAAACATGTGTTAATGCAATACGTTTCGTGAGAAATACATGATTTTCAGGAAAAATATCAAGGGTGCCAACAATTTCGGCCATGACTGTATGTGAACCTGGAGTAAAAGTTATAGGCAGGTGTGAAGACTTGTTGTAATGTAAGAAAGCT